AGAGGTCATACCCACATTGGACACATCAGAATCCACCGATGAAGTTGCTGAGCCAACATGCTTCTGCAGAATAGCAGAACCAGTTTTAGCAGGCCAAAGTTTCATGCCAGCCAAAGTCGTCAACCCAATCACCACACCAGCGCACAAAACCTTCACACCAACATCTTTTATCTTCTCGGTAATCAATTCTTGTTCATGATATTCTTCAGCAAGATGTTTACTGGCCAACTCAGCATAATTTGAAGTATTATCAAAACCAAGCCCCGCCTCCGCCAATGTATCCTCATATCCAAAGCCATTAACAGCAACATCCTCTTGTCGGGTTATGTGTTCTTCTCCAGAACTAGGAGGAAATACTTTCTGCAATGCCTGTATGACACTAGTGGTAACGTTACCAATCACTGCACTAGCTCCAGCTCCTATCTTCACTATTGCTGCTGCAGCAGCTAATGAGGAGCCACTCCCTCCTTCCAGCCGCTCTAAATACCTCAAAACAATAGGGTCATCATAATAATCCCCCAGTCTGAATTGCACATCTTTTGTCTCCCTAAATCTGGTGAAAACCACCTCCATGAGCCAGGTTTCCAATAGTTTACAGAGTCCTGGGAGCATGTCACTGTCCTCATCATTCCTTGAATTTTCCAGCACAAATTCCACAATTGATGGATCTCTGAAGGTCGAATTTTCAATGTCCAGACCCAACCATGTCCGACAATGATCAAGGTCTCCAACCAAAAGAGAACAAAGACCCCTCTCCAATGCAAAATCTTTCTCACGATTTTCTTGAGTAGCATATAAAGAAATGGAGTCTCCTATGGGCACCAACTTGGTTTGCTGAAGTTGTCGAAACAAGTCATCAGCATCTTGAATGAGATGAGGCTTCTTGCTAATGAAAGCTTGAGCAACAAGTGCAAGAGCTACTCCATAAGCTTCAAAGCTTTCAGCTGGAATATTTTTTGGCGTGGCAGTGAAAAGATCAACCTGACACAAAAGACAGAAAATAAATTTATTTCTAGATTGGAATGAGGAGGAGAGGGGGAATCCTCCTAAATTTCATGTTGGGAAGAGATTCCATGCAAGGATGTCTAATGGTGGAGAGTCCCGGCTTCAGAGAGGGAATGATGTGCGTGTCGCCCTTATTCTTAAAACCAAAGTTTCTTCTATCTAAGTACTGTCCAACAGTATTCAACTGTATTTTTCTGAAACTATTAAAATGTAATTGAGGTTTTGCTAAACTTGTAAGAGTAATTTTACTTTATCTGAATTAATTTGAACATATCTGATTCATAAATAAGAACAATATCAGGTGAACAGGGCCTAAGTCAACTTTGCAAGAACAGTGCTTGATTAACCAATCAACCTGTCTAAAGGAGGGGGTGAAAGGTAATCTACGGAGGTCATATGTATGGACTTGACCAAGGAAGAGCTATTGCAACCAGTTCAATACAGCCACTATTTCAGCTTTATTCCAACATGGAACTTGAATTTACCTAACTCTCAATTATACTTAAATTCAAAAGGTCAGACCAGTCAACTACATGCTGATTGGCTTTCTACGTTCTTTCTGTGAAGGTCTAGTGAACATTACTTGCATATAAACCATTCTCCAATCCCTTTTCTGCTTCCACTTCCAAAATAAGCACTAAGGAAAATATAGAAAGAAAAATTACAATTTACAATATGAAAGCAATGAATTACACAATACACAGTGAAAAACAGGCAAAGTTTGAACTGACCTGCTCAGCTGCTGTCATATGCAAAAAGGCTTCATTCATGAAATCCTCACGAGTGAAACCTCCAGCTATAGCCGCAGCACCACCTCCTCCAACAGACCATAATATATTACGAACACCGTGCAGGCCTTCATCTCTTTTCTTCCGATATTCATCAGTGAGAGGCAAAGCCAAGAGCTCCAAAACATAACGGGGTTTAAGCTCCTCCAATGTCTCATCAATCTGTGCTTGTAAATCTGGTGCAAGACTACTTGAACCTTCCTCCTACACAACAAAAATATCAGAGTTCCAGGTAGGGCCTCAGAGTTCTGGCATATTTATAATTAAATACACAGTAGGGCAATGCTTTATTATTACCCAAACTCAGGTAATAAGTGGAGAAATGAATAACACCCATATTTACTCTATCATAGGAAAATATTATAATAATAATCCTAGGATTAGCTTTTCTTTCTAAGTAAGTTCCTTGAGCCGCTTCATTATGCATTTACTAAAAAAACTTCGTATAATCAGAAGGAATATGTGATTCTGGAGTCTTAAAGAAAATATTTAATTCTCTTACATCATAACCAACGAGTTCCTGAGTGTTACCTGCAAGAGTTTTAGAGCACGCTCCAGGGCCTCGCAGCCAAAGACATAATCAGGAGGAGATAATGACATTGCATCCCTTGAGAAGTCAACAAAAGCAAGGGCCATTGCCAACACAATATCATGCTTGAAGGGTTTGGGTAGTCTCTCTTTTAGCAATGCATCTCCAATTCTAAGGACTAGTTCGGACTCCCCGGCCTCTTGCAGAATACACAATGCACCTGGCACCTAAAGCACCAAAACCCACAAATCAAATGAGATAATCACAAATGTAATGCCCTTTAATATGAGTATTCTTTCAACATGTTGGCATGTACATATAATAATAACATATACTAATTCCATTATGGCATTATCAATTCCCTATACGGAGAAGTGCCAATGTGTTTAACAAAAATCAATGTGTTTTCGAGGAATCTTCAAGCTACCCAAGACCATGTGTAATGTGAATATGTGATAACCTTTCCCCAAATACAGTGCTGCCCTCATATCAACATTGTTAACTACAAATCTACATAGTCAAAAGTCAAAACCTAATGAAGCTCGTGACATAGATAGCACACCGTAATACCATCTACCAATAACTATCCATTTCAATAAGCAAAAAAACTTCAACCACAAAAGCTACAGAAATCAAAATGGGGGCACTTTATGTAGAAATACAAACTTGCCTTGTCAAAAGGGACATCAAAGAGGGTAGTCTCTTCAAATGCATCAGAAAGACCTGAATTATATTCCCTTCTAGCACTGGGGTTAGAAAGAGTGTCACAAGCAGCTTGCAGGATTTGTCTTCGGGCAATAAGAGTATCTTGGGTGAACCCATATTGCGGCGGCTTCGAAACCTTTCCTTCATAAGCCCTCCTTATCCCATCACCCAGAAAATGGGTCTCCGCTCCCAGCACCTGAAAGGAAAGAAGAATGATAAAGTTCAAATGCCAAAATATAAAGTTGGGTATTCTGAATTTCAGCTCAAAATTAATAATTACACTCTAAAATGTGTCAATAAATGTGCAAATTGCATTGCTGGATAATGTCATATTCAATCCAATAATAAGAACAATACAATAATTAGTTAATCACATTTTCAATTAAAAATGAAGAATTTCTATTAAAAACAAAAAAATTAAAAATGAAGAATTTCAACCAAAATAATCAGTGGGTATTCTGAATTTTAACCCAAAATCAAAAATTACAAATGTGTATAATCTCAATTCAAGCTCAAATTTCTTTAATTTTCAACTCAAAAACTAGTAATCACAAAGTAGGTTATCACAATTTCAACCCAAAACTAAGAATCACAAAGTTAGGCAAATCACATTATCAACTCAAAATCAAAAATTACAAAGCTGGGTAAATCTCATGATAAACCCAAAATCATAAATCCGCACAAAATGGGTAATCTCAATTTCAACCCAAAATCACAAATCATCATTGAAAAAACCTGGGCATACATCCATAAATTCATTCATAATGCAAACACAAATATCATAACTTTGTACAATACCTGATAAAAATTGAGGGGAATGGAGATATTGCGGTCAGGAGGAGAGAGAGAGGGAGGAATAGAAGTAGGGGTAGAAGATGAAGTGGAAGTATCAGAAATTGAAGTGGGTAAGAATTGGAAGTCGGAGAGTAAGCGGTCAGCCCATTTACTGCCGGGAAATGACGTCGATGCGCCGGAGTTAGTGGCGGCGCTGGTGGCGGTGACGGTGGTGGGGCGGTGGAGGAAGTCTTTTCTTGAAGAGGAAGAGGAAAGTGGTGGTCGGAGAGTGGGGTAGCAGAGATTGTAGCCCAAATGTGTGAGGGCTTCCATTGTTGTTTGTTTGTTGAATTGTTTTTTGTTTGTTGAATTGTGATTGTGAAGTGAAGATTGTCTAGTGTTTTTAAATGTGTGTTTTTTGTTTGTTAAACCCTCTCCAAAATCTCTTCTTTTAACACTCCATAATTCTCTGTAGGTATAGCTCAAGTGGTTAGAGCTTCCCTCCCTCCTCCAGGAAATCTGGGATCGATTCTCACCCCCTCTAGAAAATGGGAAAAAAAATTGACATTAATTAATTAAACTAATTTCCCCCTACATAAATAGTTGCATTCGTACATTAAATTTTTAGGTTTTTTATAGGGTTGGATGCTTAGCTTGCCTGATTGGGCATAGTTTGATATTTGGACCAAAAGGGAAATTAAATTGAAATATAATGGTTTTGGTCTATTGCAAGAGATATGTTTGCTGTCTTAAAAGGCCAAATAGATAATTTAAGCAAATTTATTACTAAGTAGTACGAGTATTTCTCATAACAATACGAAAAGTTTGTAACATTCATGGATTTCTAAATAAGTGTTTATATGACTCACATGCGCTCACAAATAACTCTCAACTTCACTTAACTTTAAATACACCAAATTTAAAAGTCTATTGGTCGTTCTCAACTATTTATTTATAAGTCTTAAATAGGTAAATATTTATTATTACGAGTATAGAATTTTTAATATATGAGTACTTCTCATGCTATTGAATCCGACGATGATATTAACTAGAACATGCACCAAAGTCATCATTTCTGCAATAAGAATGAAATGATGTGTTAGAAATAATTGATTTTAATTAGATCAAATAATAAGATAAAATAGACGTTTAAATAATAAAAGAGTGAGGATTACACTTTAATTAAAGCATATATATTAGTCACACTTGAATTCAAAGGGCTCAGCAGCAGTTTGAGATATCATCAAATGTTGCTCATATAATTCTTTCTGTGATACAAGAAAAATACAAACAAGTACGGAGTAACACGTTACATATATGATTTGACCTACATGTATTTAGTAAATACTTCAATCCATCGTCGTTTATAAATACATGTCATTTTAAAATTAGTCACGACTGATGAGTTTACAGACTTACAATAAATACAAATTAAAATAACTTTAAAAGATTAAAGGAGGGTACGTAACAATTAATAAGTTGACTTCTAGGTACATACCTTGTGTTGGCGAATGTCTTGAAGGGTTTTCTGTAAACTTTGTTCCATCTCTGCAATTTTTTCAATGCTAGTCACAACTTTTGTATTCTCCCAGTAACTGCATTTAAAGTTTGACTCAAAACAAATAAATCTTTAAAAATTCTGACTAATTATATGCTTGATATAAGTAGTATACACTAGAATAAATTTATAAATTGACAATATATATACACATAGTAACTATATTATACCTCTTCTTCAGTTTGAGATCAGTTAGTTTCTTTTTTTTCTCAATTAATTTTTGTCCCAAATCCTATTTCATGACATCAGAATATAATTAAGTTAATTCAAGATTTAATCGATTAAAAGATTAGAGAAGTAAATTAAATTAAACAAGAAAGGAAGATGTACTAACCTCCACTGTCTTGACTTTCCTGAAATTAGGTAAAAAAAAAAAATATATATAATATTATCATCAATAAAAAAATTTAAAATTTTTTCATTGTCATTCTTGTGTGTTGTGTATGTTCTCTAAAGCTGAAATTACTATCAAGTATCAATATGTATAATTGTGTGTGTGTGTTTTGTTAGTAAGGTACCTTATAAAATATTTTACACGTACAATTTAATCATACATATATGTTTTGTTATATAATTACAGTAATGTTCATTTCTTTAATTTATCTGTAAACAAGTACTTGATGAATTTAACAAGAATCGAACCCTAAGATAGGCTCACAATCAAGGGGAATTGAACCTAAGATTGAAGCAATAACAATCAATGCTCCATTTTTGTTGATTCTTTTTACATGTGTTGGGCTTTGAATATGGTATATATGACAATAGTAATATACTACATTTGCATGAGGGCAATACATTATGTTTCTTATTTGTTTAAAAAGAAAAGCTAAGGTACACAAGAAAGTAGGGAGCTTTTCTCTCACACTCATGCATTATAACGTAGAAAAAGATACATATGTATAAAGTATGAAGTGTATCATTTGAATCTACAACAAATTAAAGTATCATACCATGCCTCATAAATGGTTTGGACATCTACAGTGTATCCATCCTTTTGATAAGTACTCTTGATTGTCTGGTTACCACAAATAATAATAATAATAATAATAATAATAATAATAATATATAACTCTCTCATAAAGATTAAAGAAAAAGAAAATCAGTAATAATTTAATACCCTATAAAAAAAACAGTGAATTAAATCATCTTAGTTAGAAAAGTAAGTAAAGGTTCTTGATAAATTAATTTTACAATAACAAGTAAATAGAAGTTGAATTATCATTTGGCCTGGGCTTATTCATCAATGAAATTTACCTGAAGATTGTCCAGTCTCCTGAAAAATATTATAAACAAATTTACGTAAGTGTATAACAAATTAATGGAAAGATGTAAAACAAAAGATATCGAGGAATTACAGTGCAAATTAAAACACTAACCTCTTTTCTCTATCACCATAGGGAACCATAGAAAACCTCCTCATCATTTTCACAAAATTACTGAAAATCAAATACCAAAATAAAAGTTATTGCAATACATTTTTTTTTTTTTAATATGCCGTAGATTCAAATAGAATTCAATAAATTTTATATCTGAATATAATATATTTTCTAATTGAAAAATGAATGGCTATCGTTCAAAGAACTATCCGATGAATTCACAAAACTTTACCAACTTTTTGCTTAGTTGAATGTCTATGGACATAAATCTTGCTTGTTGTGTTAATTACGCTATAATATTCTTCGGCCTTGTTCACTTCACCTTATTTTTGCTGAACTTACATTATTTTTACTGAACTGGAATTATTTTTGCTGAACTTAAATTAATTTTAGTGAACTAAAATTATTTTTACTAATTTTCTATTATATTTCTTCTTTAAAATTACTAAATTTTCTAAACTGAACTTATTTTTACTGAACTGAACTTAACTTATTTTTGCTGAACTGGAATTATTTTTACTGAACTAAAATTATTATTACTTTTAAGGTGAAGTAAACAGGGGCTTAAAGGCAAATAAGGAACAAAACTAATCTCTTAAATGCTTAAGTTGTAATAATCTAGCTAATTTTCATTTTGTTTTTTTTCATGTATGTCATTTTTCAAGTATCAGTGTTTTCTACAGCGCGCCTACTACACGACTCATCATTTAATTAAATCTTATAAAATCGAAATCTAAGAACATGAATGGCGTCAAAAAATAAATATCAGATCATTTCATTTTATTATTGTTTCAAAAATCCACAATTATATCTAATTGTATATGAATTTTTTTGTAAGTATGTAACGGTGATAAATTTTTATGAAATGATACAAAAAAAAATGATTGCATCTTAATCAAATGTATAGCGTGTTTCATAAATTGATGAACGACTTTGATTCCAAGAACTATTCAAATCCCTAAGACTTTCCTCAATAAATTAAAATACTTTATGCTTAGTGGAGTTTTTTCCCGAGTTTTTAGATAGCCATATAGGATTTAATTTTTTCAGCGCTCCTTTAGTGGCATTCAATTAAATATGAGATTATTAATTTTATATAAAATTAAATAATTTAAATGATACGTAAAGCGAATGAGATTTTTCAGTTTAAATTAATTAAATATAAAACATTATATATATATTATGAATGAAATGATACAGCGAATAGATAAATATTTGCTTGCCTATTTTTTCCCATATGAAGACTAGGGATGCCGTTAGGAGAAAATCCAAGGAAAAACGCATCTATTCCAGTAAGAACACTCATTTCTTCAACTTTCTTTTCCACAGTTGATTTATTCTGCAAGTAGTATTGTTCTCTTGATAGCTCGTCATTCAACTTTTTCAATTGCATCTTTGGTCTCACCATTTTTCTCTAAACTTCTTGATCACGCTTTTTTCTGTGGTAAAAAGAATTTATTATAAATTTAATCAATAGTAAGGATTTGTATAGAGATTTCAAAACTTAATATTAGATTAAAATGTAATTATGGAAGTAATATCAAATCACAGTGATGTGGATCAATTCAAGATTTTGGACATATGTAAATTGTAATTAAATTTTGGTAGAAAACCCAAACTGATACACATTACTTTTTGTGTTTTGGATATGTAATTCTTTTACTAATACACTATATATTCATGTACACCATTTTGACTAATTTAATTATTTGTGATAAACTTAAATATAATCATGCAAAATCTTATTAGATTTTATTCGAATTATCATTTCATATTATCACTTTTTTTTATAAGAATCAAAGATATCATTGCTTGAAATAATTAATTACTATTGTGAAATGAGAAATTAGCAAGTTAAAAAAAAAAAACAAAAGAAGTGTTTCAATAGGTTTTTTTATTTTTTATTTATTTTTTTATAATTAGCAACGATGTTCAATGATAATAAAAAAATAGATTGTATCTCGGCTCCCCACTAAATTTTTGTGAATCGATTGACTTTTGTCGGTTTTTGTTATTTTCTATAATAATAATAATAATAATAATAATAATAATAATAATAATAATAATAACAATAATAATAATAATAATAAGGTTGTTGCGTTGCTGAAGCGGATTCAAAGGTTCTCAACGACGCAAGACATTGGGGCTCGTGCTGCAGCTCATATATTCACTAGGGTAGGCTTTGCTATAGCTAGATAAGTGGGGGCCCAGATTGTATCTCGCCTTCCCACTAATTTATTGTAGGTTGTATGACTTTTGTTTTTGAGATATAACAACAACAACAACAACAATAATAATTATAATAATTCATGCATCCATATATTCTCCGAGAATAGAAAACCATAAAAAGTTCATCAAAAAAAACTACAAGACAATATTAAGCTTAGGAAATAATACAAAATTGAGGAGTAAATTGGATCAATAAAAAACCTCAAAGAGTAAAAAGGGATAGGTTGTTTAGAAGGTTGTGCATGTTCATCTATGTGCTAAAAACGAACATGAAAGAAAACATAATAAACACAAGTATCAGTCAAAAATTCAAAATTATCAAGGTTAAGATAAATAAATTTGAACAATAATAATTATTGAATAACTATCAACCAAATTCTAATTTACCTGAAATTTTCTATTGAACTTTTAGAAGGTTATTGTTTAGAACTTTTATAACTATTGTTTTGAACTTTTACAAGACAATAGTCAGGCTCTTGTTTAGTCACATTTCATAGTCGAAAATGAACATTTATAAGAACAAAATGAACACAGTGCTTGATTCTTAATCATGACCATGAAGTTAAATAGATATGAACTGTTTCCAAAGACATCTATCATTTATTATTTACTAGGTGGCTAACGCGCGCGATGCATGCATCATATCTCGCAATATTTGAGAAGTTCTTTCGATTTGATCTTACATCAAAATTTAGATGTTAGTAGTATTAATCAGGGGAAAACAATGTGAAAAGAGATTTGTTTTTAGAGGTATAAATGTCTTCACATTATTTTTAAGAGTTTAAAAAAAAAGCTAACTAATATTAATGGGGGCAATTAAGTAAATAAATTTTTTTGAAGGTATAATTGTCCAAGCACTATTTATAAAAGATATCTTATACTTTTTGTTAAGGATTTATTTATTTTGGAGAGAACCATCCTTCATTTTTTTTAGGAAATCCTTCATTATTAGATTATCCATAATTGATTTTTTTTTCCCCTCTTCCTAACTATAAATCCCAATTTGACTTTTTTACATTGGCCTGTTCACGTTCAAATCAGTTTCGCTCCAATCATTTCAATTTAGTTCATTTCAACTCCAATCAATTCAGTTTACTTCAATAAATGAGAATAAACTCTTACTTTCACCTAAAAATCCCATCTATCAAAGCCATCGATTAAAAAACGAACGGTTAAGATCCCTTCTAAACCTCATATATAAACAACTTCTTAATTTCCCCATTTTTTTTCCCAAAAAAATACACAATTAAACAAGTAAAACTTCTGAATTTCGACAACCCTAATTCATCTTTCTCTCTCATCTCTTCACTCACCAACTTCAATGGAGGTCGACAAAGCTCAGGACCAACAATGTCCGCCGGAGGAAAAACTCGATTCTCTCTCCATTACCCCCGCCGCCGAAGAATCATCCTCTGCCACCGGGTAATCCACCGTACTTTTGCTTCACTTTCTCTCTCCTAATTTGAATTCATTTTAATGGGATTTTCTTGATTTGTATGATGTAGGATGACATTGGAGGAACGATTTGAGATCATTAAGAGTGTTGGGGAAGAATGTATTCAAGAATCTGAGCTGATGTTGCTGCTTTCGAAGAAACCTGAGCCTATTTGCTATGATGGATTTGAACCTTCTGGTCATATGCATATTGCCCAGGTTTGATTCTAATTTTTTATTGATTTGTTTTCGAAATTTAGTGTTTTTATTTTGTTTTGTAGCTGGGATTCCTGGGAATCACTTTATATGTGTTGGGGTGGGGTTAAAATGGATTAATTTATGTTATATGAATGGTTAGTGATTTGTATCGGATGTTGGTACGGGTACGTGTTCAAGTGTTACGACTAGTGTTGGAGTG